TGGTTTTTTAAGATGTTGCCCTTTGCTCTCTGTTGTACAGTGTGATGTTCCAAGTGCTGAAATAATCTCCTCCTGTCACGAGTGGGTTCCAGCAAGTTCCTTGTACAGCAGTTAAAAGCTGATCTGTCCAACAGCTTCCAGTTAATCTAGTGTTAAACACAAGTGAAATGCACTCTCTATGCTCAGATTCCTTGCCAGCTGAGGTGAGGGTTAACCTTTGCTTTTCTCAGAAATACCAGCTGTGTGTTTGTAGTTTGACATGAGGAACAAATACACTGAGGAGCTGAATTCAGGGGGGTTGGTGACTGCAGGAGGAGAATACCAGAGGAAGAACCTCAGAGTTTTTCACCAACACTCCTGCTGTGGTGTCTGTGGTGGTGCACTGACCCCTGATTAGGAGCTAATGACAGTGGTAGAGTGAAATGTGGATCCAGCTGTTGAGTGTGGTGTGTGTGATCCTCTCTGACAATCCGGGGATGTTTATTCCTCTCCAGTCCTTGGGATGGCCTCCACCTCTGAATAAATCCAGTGACTGTTATGTCCTGGTAGGACCTAAAACATCCAAGGGTTAATTGTTAACTTCTCCAGTCTGTTTTGTATTTTCAAAGACAATCAGTTGCCTGGCTTAGCCAGTTTTTATGCAGTTTCAGCCCTTGTTTGCTGTTTTTCATGAAGACTTTCTCTGTGTGGCCTCCTGTGTGTCTGACAGAGCATCTGCTGTTTCTGAGACCAGGATGCATCTTTTAGAATACAGATCTTTGATTTTGTGATCTTGTGTTAAGTGTTTTAGTAGGAGGAAAATATGCCTTCATATAACAACACCTGTTCCTATGCTTTTATGCTATTTTATAGTCAAACTTTTTTAGTCTAGACAGATTCTTCTTTTTTTCTATTTAAAAAGATAAAATGATTTGTGATCAAACCAGGCTGCTGATGTTCCTGTGTAGAAATCATTCTGAAATTCAGATTTTTCAGGTTCATTTCAGTGTTTCAGTTGTACCTGATGTGCTTCTTGAACTTCCGGAAGCGTTTTCACTTGACTGACAGCAGGGGGAAAAGGAATGGGCAGGGATTCTCATGGATGTGGAAGTTTTCAACTCCGTTTTGTGCCTGCTCAGGATCCCTCCTGCCACCAGCTTCAAAGTGGGATCCTGCAGGCAGGTCCTTGCTCCAGAGACGGGAATAGGACAGAGTAAAAAGGAAGGGAAATGGGGTTTGTCCATCTGTCACAGGTGTGATATTTATGTATTTCTTCAGCTACTGAAATCACTCCAAGCCCAGCTTCACTGTCGCACTGTTCCATGGAATTAAAACAAAGGTAAAAAACCCAACAAAAACCTGTGTTATCCAGCAGGCTTATGGATTTTTGAAATTCCAGAAGTCCGGGTTGGATTCTCTGTGGTGTTTCTATTTTTTAAATTATTTCATTTCTACCCCAGTGTAGAAGTTGCTGTAAGTAGGAGTAAGTGGAAAACCTTCAGAAACTATTTTATAAGGAGAATCAAGTGTGATGTTGTTGATGTATAAATGTGTAAAATGTGAAACAACATTCCAGCACTTTCCATTGTGTAAAGACACTTCAAATAAAACAATGCAGTGCCATTCACACTTGGGATTTGGACTGTGCTCCATGCAGGACCAGGTGCACAGTGAGATGTGTGATGGTGGTGTCTGCTTGAATGGGCAGATGGGATGGGGACTCCGTGTGCCTCGGAGCTGGGGGTGGCAGGGACCCACGGGAGAGATGTGGGATACTTGCAGGGACCACTCTGGGTGGGAAGGAGGAGCCAAACAGAGGCTTCAAAGCTTAAATTAAGCCATTGATCAATATCAGAAGTGATGCTGCTCCATTCCACGGTGACAAAAACTACTCAAGGGTGGCAGCCTGCCTTGAAAATGAAGCTGGAGCTTGCTTTACTCCCTCCATGCCATGATTCAGTACCCCCCACCAGAACCTGCTTCTTCTAATCACTGACTGCTGGTAAGGACTATTTTTAGCAGCAATCTTGCACAGAGGCACCAACTCAGCCCTTTCTGAGCTTGCACTTTGTATAAATAAATACCCCAAATTCCTTTAAAATGTTCTCCTTGAGCAGCAGCTGAAACATGAGGTGTTTCTTTGTGTTCTGGAGTTATGGAAGTACTTTAGTTTTATAATAGAGAACCTGTGATTGCAGCTCCTCATTCTGCCTTGTCACAAAACTGCTTCCCCTGGACAGACCCTGTGCATAAAATTCCAATTGCTTAATTTATTCCCTGAAAGGTTTCATTTCCATTTTTGTCTGGGTTTGGATTAGGGATACTTTTGAGCCCAGAATAGAAGGCTGGCTTGTGAATCTTACTGGGTTTTGTTTATGTGCTCCACTCAGTGTAAAACTCACTAGGAGAGATTGCTGGTGTGGAAAGAGACCCCAGCCAAGCTTCATCCCCTTGGAGAAAATGCAGAGCAAGATAAAAGACTTCTCCTCCTGTAGGTACTGACCCTGAGATGTGAGTGAGTGTGACACAGCTGTCCCTGCTATCACTCAGAGTTCCAGGGAGGGTCACTGGGTCTGATTGCTCCATAAAACAAGAGCAGGGCCTAGAAAGTAGAAAACACTGTGTTTTAGATGTTACCTAATGTGTTAAAATCCTGCTCTGAACCAGGCTCTGTACTGTAATTTTGGCATGCTCAGGCTTGTAGAGGGAATGTTTGATTCCCCTGGTGAAGGGAACATATTCCAACCATCATCAGCATTGGGGTGAGGCAGTGGGAAAGACATTCTGGCAGTCTGGTTTGCTCTTACATAAAAATAACCAATTCCCGTCCTCTGTGGCTCTGTGCTGGGAACACAGGCACAGGAGCAGGGACTGGGAGGGCAGCCAGGCTGAGCTGTGCCCTCCTGCTGGGAAGGTCACCTCAGCTCCCTTCATCCCTCCCAGGGGGGTCTGGAAATTATTTCTGAGCCTGTGGGTGCATGGAGGGCCTGATTTCACAATAAATTCCAAACTCAATGAATTTTTAGTTGGCCTTGATATCTGCTGTGATACCTGTTCCCTCTTTGTTCTCACTGAGCCACTCCAGGCTCTGCTGTGCCCTGCCAAGTGCAGGCAAACTGCAGATTAACCAGCAGAGCTGGGAGCTGAGCTGCTGTTCCAGGAGGAGTCCAAACCTGCTTCATGGTAAATTCAGTGAGACTCTACACCTTGTAAGGCTGGGTCACTTCCTAGGGGTTGGTAATGCTGTAGTAAGCTTGGAGTTAATTCAAAGCTATGCTTTGTCCTTTGATGTCAATTGGCTTCATCGGGTTTTTATGGAGCATCCCAGAGTCTCCTTTGGTCTTCCTTTAATGGGATAAGCTCAGGGTTGGCGCCTGCAAATTGGGTCGCTGATGTTGACAGCAGAGTTTTATAGTAACAGTGTATAAGCATTTATTTATACATTATACAAATGTATTTATACATTTAATAGTGTATAAACCTGGTGTGTGGTTCTTAATTTAGGACCTGGTGAGGGACAAACCCTTGGGGAAAGTCCCACCCTCCCTCTCTGCTGTCATGGAGGCTTTGGGAACTCACATTTGCTTTCGCTTGGGCTGCTTGACAGTCACAGGGGCTGCTGCTTCCCTTCCTGTACTACTTAAATTGAGTTATTAATTATTTTTATTAACTTACATTCATACCTCTTCCCAGTAATGGTTGCTGAGTGTTCAAAGAAGCCTCTTCTGCTCTCTAGAGATACAGCCCAGGGAAGGTTTGTGGCTGGAAAACCACTCCTGTTCCCGGGAGAGCCTCGTGCTCCTGCTTGTTTATGCAGGATGGGACAGTCATTGTAAGGAAATCAATCAAATGAAATGTATTCCCTTGGAATGACTGGTGAGTAATCCCTGCTGGGAATTCAGTCTCTGGTTTTAAGGAGCTGCATGGGCTTCAGTGGGACTGAGGTGGAAGTGACTAATGTGGGTTGTTGTAGCTGTACAAAACATTTGCTAAATAATTGGATCTGGAAACTCTGGTTTCTGGTGAAAAAGCCTCAGTGGTTGTGTTCTGTGGCTTCTGTGTAGAAATCAGCCTATGGTAGACACCAATGTGAAGCATGAGCTGTGTTAAGGGCACAAATGTTTCTGGAGGAGGAAAGGGAGAACTGTAAGGTAAGGAAGGACCCCATTTTTCAGCCCAGCTGGACTCTGGTCTTCCCAAGAAATCCACTGCAAATGTTTATGGACCATCAGGACCACCCTGTTGCTGCTGTCCATACGGAGGTGGGATTCTGTAAGGAGCAGACTTTCTCCTGTTTCAGGCTGCATTATAAGGGAGGTGGGTGATGTGGCTCTGGCTGCAGCTGGGGCAGCTGGAATGGAGAATGGGGGGAAACATCTGCACAGCAGCTCGACCACCCTAAACCACAAATGGAGCCTGAATGAGGGCTGTGGCTTGTTCCTGTGGTTTTCTGGTTTCCCAAGGGAGCAGCATCAGGCCCAGGCAGGGGACAGATCCCTTTCTAAAGTGCGATGTCCACAGGAAAAATCCAGACAGGGACAGTGGTCACACTCCTCTGGAGGATAAAGCCAGCGAAGTACAGGTTAAAAGTGAGGACTCCTTTCCAGTTTGATCCTTTTGATTCCACTGTCGAGTGGACAAAACCACTCATTCTGTCTTTGGGCTGGATGTGCTTGGGATCCTTCTCCTGAAGAGCCTGGGAGACCTTTGGGCATCGAAGAACTGCAGAAACTGGGCTGCTCCCAAAGCTTGGCAACACTCGCTGTGAGACGGGGGCGTTATCCCAGACTCCTCCATCCCCCCAGCCGCTGCCCGGCGGGGTCGGGGGCACCCGCAGCCCCGCACGGGCCCGGGGAGGCGGCGCCGGGCCGGGCTGGGCGGCCCCGGGGAGGCACCTGCGGCGGCGGGGCTGTGCCGGGGCTCCGGCCGCACGGGCATCGGGCTCCCCGCGGCAGCAGCGGGGCTGGGCCGGGCCGGGCTCGGCAGCTCCGGGCTGGGGAAGGGGCGGGAGCGCCGGCGGGGGCAGCCCCGCAGCCCCGGCGGGCGGACGGAGCCGGGAGCCGCTGCGGCAGCGCCGGAGCCCCGAGCCCGCAGCATCCTCCGTGAGTAGCGCCGGCTGAGGGTCGGGTGTAGGAACCGCTCGCGAGTGGGGAAAATTGTAACCTTTCTGCCCCAAAGCTCTGTCCCTTTCTGCCCCAAAGCTCTGTTCCTTTCCGCCGCCGGTCCAAGCAGCGCGGTTACTCCGGGTTTGTGTGCGAGGCACTGTGAATGATCCACGGAAAACGCGAGTTCTTTATCGGTACCTCTAAACCAGAAAGAAATAGAGAGCAGATGTCCTCGCACGGTTTTCTGTTCAACTGGTGCTTGAGCAGTAGTTCCATTAATTGAGAGCCGTAAGGGACGGGACTGGGACTGCTCTGGCGCGGTTTCCTCCCCGGAGAAAGGGAAGCCCGCGCGGTTGTTGTAAGCTCACTCCATCGCCGGCGGTGTCCTTTCATCGCTGGGGACGCTGAATCTCTTGTCCTGACTTATTCAACCCTGGCACTATAAATATGGGTTTGTTGGTGGCTGTTTGTGGCTTTGGGTTTTTGTTTTTGGTGGGTTTTTTTTGGTTTTGGTGGGGTTTTTTTGGGTTTGGTTTTTTTTTTAATACTTTTTTCCTGAGAAAAAAATCTGCTGAGCAGCGTGCTGGAAAGAGCTGGCAGAGTAATATTTAACAGGAAAAGAACTCGAAAGCTCAGAGCATTGTTACAGTTCACTGAGTGTCTCCAGCACAGAACAAAACTACACTGTTTGCTTTATTTGGGAACACACTGAAGCTGCTGACAGGTTTAAATGGTGATTTCTGGTTTTTCCTGGTAATTAATGTATTTAATGCCCGGGGAAGTCCTTGCTAAAGGAAGCGTAGCTTTTGTAAACAGCTTTCACTGATGGGATGCATTGTGCTGTGTGGCAGGAGGGGTTGATTTAGTGATTACAAACCATGAGACACAGGCAGAGCAGAGACCAGTGACTTCAGAGTCTGACAGAGTTATTGTCCCTCTGTGGGTACCAGATTGGGGCACTGAGGGTTTGCCAGGGGGTTCTGGCGGCGAAAGGCTGCAAGTGTGAGATGTCAGCTGCTGTGTGTGTCTTCAGGGCTCTGCAGAGGGGGAAGGAGCCTCACTGATTCAACAAGTTGGCATAGGCAAGAACTCCTGGGACTGCCTCTGTGCTGCTGTGTGCAGTGAGAGGAGCTGCATTTCTGCGTTGATCCTTTGTACTGTGTACAGAATTTTTTATATATAGAATCACAGAACAGGTTGGGCTTGAAAAGACCTTGAAGCCCATCCATTGCCACCCCTGCCATGACAGGGACACTTTCCACTGTCCCAGGCTGCTCCAAGCCTGTCCAGCCTGGCCTTGGGCACTGCCAGGGATCCAGGGGCAGCCACAGCTGCTCTGGGCACCCTGTGCCAGGGCCTCATCACCCTCACAATGAAGAAGTTTTTCCCAATATCCCATCTAACCCTGCCTCTGGCAGTGGGAAGCCATTTCCCCTTCTGCTGCCTGCATAAAAAGCCCCTCTCTCTCCTTTTTATAAGACCCTTTAATTGCTGGCTTTAAAGAAAATCTAACTGGGCAATGTGCAGTTCACAGCCTGGTTTAGACACTGCTCCTGGACAAGTCAGTGACAAAAGTCTACTAAGTTTATATTTCCAGGCATGGCTTTAGAAATGAGGGTGTTCCTTTTGGGAGTCCTGTTGTCACTTCCTGTCACCTGTGGGAGCTGAGGGGGGTTTAGTGCTTCTCAATAAACCAGGCAGGTAAAATTACTGCGGGGTTTTTAGCTGGTGCTGCTACTGCCCAGATCTGCCTGCTGTTTGTGCCACTGTCTCTGTCTTGGCAAGGCAAAGAACTGCTTTTAATGTGTGTTTTAGCAGCAGCTTAACCCGGGCAGCTCATGCCAGAACCTGAGAAAATGCTTATGTAAAGGTGCTGCCCTGACATGGGGGCACTCAGGCTCACACAGGGAGGGTTGTTTGCCTCAGGCCTCTTTGAACTTGGGCTTTTCTTTCCTTCTTCCTCCCTCTTTGGAGCCTCTAAAGGTAAACCCAGGCATGTTCAGGTCTCACTGAAGGACACTGTGTTTTTATTACTCTCTGAAATCACAGCTTGCCTCCATCCCTGGCAGTGTTCCCGGGGTGCTGGGAAGGTGAGGGCAGGAACAAGCCAGCAAACCCCACCTTTTCCCAGGTGAAAGCACTGAATCTGTGTCCTCCTAACCAGCACCTGCCTTCCCTGGCAGGGAGCTGCCTCTCCGAGCCCAGCCATCCTGGAAAAACCCTCAAACAACCCCCTCTGTTCTCTGTGGCCCCCGTGCTGTAATTGCAGGTGCTGCTGACAGGTGAGCTCTGATCCCCATCTCCTCACAAACAAACCCAGCCCAGCAGGGCAGGGGCAGCAGGGAGGCTTTAGAAAAGGGGGCACTGCTCCCACTCGCCAGAACAACCTATCCCCTGTATCTGCCAAGGTGTTTGAAATGGAAACCTGCCCAAAGCTGAACTTTATGGAAACATTTCCAGCTCCATAATGTGGGGATGCAAAAATAACCAGCAGTGTGGAGAGTGAGGGTGAATGAGAGGCTCTGAGAGCCCAGGCAGGTGTGTATGCACAGGGGGAAGTGCAGCCCTGTGTCATAGACAAAGAATGTCCTGTGATTACTTGTATCAAAGTCCACTTCTTCTCCCCTGCTGAAAGGCTTTTATCCAGCACTCCTGATTTTCCAAATGTTTTTTCTGAACAGAGTAGGATCCAGGCTGAAAATCAGTAGGTTCCCATGGATCTGCTGGGCTTTGCTGTGTCTTTCATGCAGCAGAGGCTTGGTCAGGTGTAACCTGCTGATTCACAGGCAGGAATGGAGCTGGGACTCCCAGGTAAGAGCAGGACCAGCACCTTCCACCCTGGCTGGAGACACAGACCTTGCAGCTCTTGACTTGCTATACAAAGCAGAAAAATCCCAACCTCCTGCAGTTTTCAAACTGCACCTGAGATTGTGCAGCCTGCTGGATAAATTAATCCCTTTCATAAACAGGTGGTTTCACTATGACAATAAAAATTCTTTGGGTCTGAGTGACTCATGCACAAACAGCTCCCCATTCCCAAGGTGGTTTGACCCAGAGGGAAGGCATGAAGAATGAATATTTCATGGCTTAATATTAAAATATCCAGCCTTATTTATTTGGAGTTGTTATTTTGGTAGCCAGAGGAAGGAAAAAGGGCTTCTGCAGGTGTGGCTTTTGCACTGCCCTAGTCAGGAGCCACAAGGTGAGAGCTGGATGTGGCTTTTTCTGAATTATGCCCACAGTCAGAACACTTGATCAGCTTTTCATGAAGAGTCTCTTGAGCCTCTGCTGCCACTGGTAAAACCTTTTTCCATATGGGAGGATGGGTGGGGAGACAGGAACAGCTGTCCCTGAGCTCTGGTGCATCCCAGGTCCCTCTGAGGTGTGTGTGAACCCTGTGCTGGACAATAGGGCTGGGCAGAGCCTAAACACAAAATATTTCAGCTGATGCTCATGTTGCTGAATTAACTTGGCCTTGGCTAAACAAAGGAATCATTCACTCACAGGAGAATGACCCAGTTACAGGCTTGTGGCAAAGTTATTTTGGTTTTTAGATTAAAACAAGAAGACCAAACTTTTAACTTGAGGGGATTGAAGTATTTGAAGAGTGGTCCTTGCAGTTGTGATCCTGCATGCCAGTCAGACACCAACCACTTCCCTTCCTGCTGCTTCCTGACCCCTCTCATTCCTCACTGACCTGCTCTGCAGGTTTTTAATTGGTATTAATTTTTATTACCAACTCACTTCCACTGAATTATTTCTGGCTATTGTTTATCTCGTGCTGTGTAAAATTAAAGTTACCATGCCACACAATATCCCAGGGGAGCACCAGAGTTGTACTGAGCAGCATCTGAAGTGGGAAACTCAGTTCCATATCAAGTGCTGAAGAATAATTTACTTTTCAAGGAGCAGTTGGAGTGTCTCAGCTCTGGGACTGGGAGCTGAGCTGGTTCCAGAGGGCTCTTTGAAGTGGTGCTCACACCCCTCTCGGGCTGAAGGAGCCCTTTAATGGCTCGGGTTTCCAGGGACACTTGGAAAACCCTTTTAAAACCAGCAAACATCCCGGCTGCTCTTTCCAGATCCACAGTTTTACCCACCAAAAAACAGGCATGTTTTCAGCTGTGCCCTTGGAAGTTCATCCGCTTCCAATAACAGACCTGAGCTGACACTGGGCTGAACTCACAACCTCCTGCCACAGCCACGTTGCAATATCCCTGTTCAGGGGCTGGTGTTTGTCCTGACACCTTTGGAGCTCCAAGTTAAGGGGTTAAATGGTTTTTCTTCTCCATGATAGATGAACGAAGCTCCTCTAAATTCGGTTTTATAATGGAGTTTTTAAACCTTTCTGTGATCAGTTTTTCCCTTCCCTCAAGACATTGCTGAATTCTGAATGCAGAATCCTTCACACTCTTTTGCTCAGTGATCTGATTCTCAACCAGAGGTGATAATCTAAAATCTCAAAGCATTTGAAATACATTGTTGTGTTCATATCTTATTTTATCCTATTAACACTGGCCAGGGGATATTTTAGCTGGTGGAGCAAGATTGTACCAAAATTTCCATCGTACCAATTTTGAATTTCCATTCCTTCAGCAGGGCCAGGTTTCCATCATAATGAAAATATTAAGAATTCCAGTTTAGTGAACCTGCACTTGGCAGGTTCTGAGCCTTTGCTGGGCAGTTGCCTAATTAGCACTGTGAAATTTGGGTTAATATTTTAGGAATTCACTCCTCTTTTTCCCCTCTGCAGCCCACTCAAGATGACGACGGCCATGCCACTGACCAATAACACTCAGCTCTCAGTGAATGTGACCACAAAGTCTCAAGAACAAAATCTCTATCAAAGTAAGGAAAGGAGTGGGGTGGTGGCTTTTTTTTTTTTGGTTTTAAGTGGACTTTGAACTTATCAAACTTCAAACACTACAACGACAACTTTGTAAATATGGCTTTTTTCCCTTCCTGCTTCTCTCCCAGGTTCTGGAGCAATAATTGCTGCCATCGTGGTGGGGGTAATTATTATTTTCACAGTGGTTCTGCTCATCCTGAAAACATACAACAGGTATGTGGCCATGTCAAACCAGGATGAACCAAAGTCCCTGCTCTCAGCTAGCAGAGCATTTCAGGGTTTGCTGCTGAAAATTTCCAGGAGAATCTAAACACTGAAGTGCTGATTGCAGTGTACTGACTCTCAGTGTCAGTGCTCTGATTGGAGCACAGGAAGCACAAAGAGCTCCTTGATGGAGACTGCATGGTGAGAGGTCTTTTTAGGGATTCCTGGTGATGCAGGGAAGGTCTGATTGTGCACCAAGACTGCCACAGGGAGAGCTTGATTCAGAGCTCACATACTCTGAGAAGACTTTTGGTGTCTTTGGGATGAAATCCTAGCTTGGTTTGCATGGGTTGTGTGGGAATCTCCCCAAAACTTACCCTGGGAGAGGAGAGGAGAGACCACCCCAAGTGCCAATTCCCCTTTTACCTTTGCCAGGCGCATGCGAGTGCGGCGGGAGCTGGAACCCAAAGCCTCCAAGCTGGCAGTGCCACCTCCCGTGGGGCACAGCAGCCACAGCCTGGCCCAGCAGCCCTCGGTGACCTTCATCCCTGTGGACATCCACCTGCAGAGCAGGTAACTGGGAACTCCCTGCCAGAGAAGAGATGGAATTGTTATCCCAAGGACCTGGGACTCCTCAGCAGAGCAGCACTGGGAACTGCAAGCAGCTGTTATTCTCTCTGTAAACTGAAATGAACCCTGGGTTCTTTCTTTGGGAGGAAAAACCAGAGGTCTGGACACTTTTCCTACGACTGAAATAACAGGTGGAGGTCTAGGAATCATCAGGATGGCAGTGAGGCCCATCCTGGATAAACCAGGAAGAGAAGATGCCCAGGTTTTGTGGAGCTTCTGCTTCCTCAGAGACTTTGAACACTCTCTGTTCTGCTGATGAACTGGAGGAGAAGTCTGGACATGCCCCAAAGTCAGTTTGGACCCGAGTTTGTTACAAGTTACATGCAAGAGGTTTGTGGCTTATTTTATACCTGATGGGTAGTACAGGAGGTATCAAAATTGTATTTATCTTCACTCATACTTCATGTTTCTAAGCTCATATATGTACAGGTTGAGGAAAAAAAAAAGTTACTTCTTATTTTCAAGTATTTTTAAACTCTTTCTATAAACTCTGTAACTCTCAATTTCCGAAGGAGCTCGGTGTCTGAGGGGTTTCACTCGCAGTTCAGGTTCATGGCTGGAGCTGTCTTAGAATGCTTTGTCTTACGCAAAATCCGAGTTCTTTAACCAAAAAAAAATAAGCATGGAAATAGAAAAAAAACAGCTTGGACAAAGCAAGGGAGGCTCTGTGCAGCCCCAGTGTGCCACTCACCCTGCAAGGTTTTGTTCTCTGGTGCAGCCCAACTATTTTTAGCCTTTTTTATTCTTGAAACCAACCCAAAGTGAGGTTGTTTTGTGAGTGTGAGGGCTGGGGGTGTGCAGCAGTGGCACAAAGGAATTCCCGGGGACACTCACAGCCCACGGGTGGGAACACAGAGACCATTGTCAGACACTGACTGCCAGATTGTCTGAGATTTTCTAGTTCATGCTTTTTTCCAATAAGCTTGGATCTCTTGAGCAGGTCAGTTTGACTAACTGGTAATTTTTATTGTGCAGAAACTAAATTCAATTACTTTGCAATATTTTTTTTTGGCTGAAACTGGAGCACGGTTTGGATTCCAAACCAAATATTGAGACAGCTGTTTGTGAAGTTTCTGAATCTCCTTGTAAATATTTCTCTTGTCCTGGTTCTCTACCTTATTTTTTGTGGCAGGGAAGATTGATTTAATAATTCAGAAGGGACAGCAGATGCACATCTAATTTTTTTTCCAAAAAAATATAAATATCTCATTTTCAAAAAAAAAAAAAAAAAATTCTGTTTCTGTCTCTGGATGTTCTCTGAGCAGTTCCATGGGATCAAAATCAAGATTTCTGGGAAAGATAAGCCCATCTTACTGCTGGTTTTGTTTGTGGGTTTTTTTTGTTTGTTTTTTTTTTTTAACATCCCTAGCCAGACCTACTTGTGGCAAATTTTGTTTACGTTCCATTTGCTTCATTTCCAGCCAACACAGTTCACAAGCAGAGTAAGCAGAACTACTGCAAGCAGTTCCAGTTTCACAGAATTACTCTTATTGGCAGCAGAACTGGCTGCTGGGACACACCAGCATTGCTCCAGCTGAAAAATTCAAATACCAATAAAATTTGCCTCACATTGGCACCTCCTGGGAGGCCCCACAATCCATCCTGGCAGCAAAACCCTGAGCTCACACTGAGCAAGCAAAACCACCTTCTCAAGGAACAAAAATCCCAGTTCTGTGCCATTTGCTGTGGATTTGAGCTTTCCAGGAACAATCCCACACTCTCCAGCCCTGGTAACATCAGCTGCCTCCCGGCTGATCCACCCTGTCCTGACTTGGCCCCCAGCTTCCACTTCCAAACACACAAATTTTGGGAAGCTCCCCTTCAGCTGGCCCTGTCCTGCAAGAATCAATGGTTGGTTTTTTCCTCCTAAAAGTTCTACAGGATCTTCAGCAGGTCGGATCCTCCAGCTGGAATTTCACTGATCCAGATACTCTGGTAAAATGTTTAATATTTCACTGCTGGGTAAGTCCTGACCCCAAAACTCAGCTCTCCCCACTTATTTCCATCCTCCTTATCCCAGCAAAGAGCCCGGAGCTCCACCTAGTGTCCTCCTGCCTTCCCACGGGTTCTAATTCTAATTTTGTGCTCAACAAAAACATAAAGCAATTCCAGCTTCAGCTGTCACCTTTACTAAACTCCCTCATCCCAGGGCTGCTGAGCAGCCGAGTCAAGCACTTTTCCAAGCTTGGCCGTGCAAGGCTCAGATTGTTACAACTCCAAGCAAATAAAATATGGTAATTCCCCTTGGGTTTTATTCCTGAGTCCCACAGCCAATTTATTTCCCAAGAATGCATCTGTAACTCAGCCCAGAAGGAGGCACACAGAGATCAGTGACCTACACCAGTCACACCAGTTTGTCCAGAGTGGGATGGCGTGGAGAGCCCATGACTTGTCTTCAGGACAAGAAAGGCAAGGAGCTGCTCCATGGAGGGGGACCAGGGGAGGCCACAGAGATAGTTTGGGGTTTGGAGCATCTCCCTGATGAGGAGAGACTGCAGGAGCTGGGCCTGGCCAGTCTGGAGAAGGGAAGGCTGAGAGGGGATCCCACAGATCCATAAAATACCCCCAGGGGGTGTCAGAGGATGGTGCCAAACTCTGTTCAGGGACAGGACAAGAAGCAACGGCCATAAAATTAAACACAACACGTTCCACCTCAACTCGAGGAAGAACTTCTTTCCATGAGGGTGGCAGAGCCCTGGAACAGCTGCCCAGGGAGGGCTGGAGTCTCCCTCTGTGGGGACACCCCAAACCCACCTGAATGTGTTCCTGTACCACCTGCTCCAGGTGACCCCGCCTGGGCAGGGCTTGGGCTGGGACATCTCCAGAGCTCCTTTCCTATCCTAAATATTCTGGGATTCTGTGACTTCTTCAGAGCCCTGTCTCCTGCCCAGGGACCCCTGTTATGCCGGGAGGGAGCCGAGGGGCCGTTGCCGAGGGGCTGCGCCCTCACAGCCCGGCCCAGCCCCGCCGCCATCCCTGAGGGAGCCGCGGCCGTGAGGGCACCTGAAATCTCGCGAGACACCGACCTCGGCAATAGCCGCAGGCGCCAACATCTCGCGAGAGCGCCACTCGCTTGACGCGCTCACCCGCGAGCAGCTGCGCTCTCTCATTGGCCGGCCTCCCGCGCTCCCGCCGATCCTCCACCAATCAGCAGGCGACGGAGGGAGAGACCCTGCGCAGCGCGCGCCTGGCCCCGCCCACCTTCCCCCCTCCCCACAGCCCGGCACGGCTGAGGGGGCGCGCGGTGCACGCCGGGACGGCAGCGCGCGCCGCGGCCGGGAGGAGGCGGAGGAGCCAAGATGGACGCCGGGTTCTTCCGCGTAAGTGCCGGCCCGGGGAGCCCTGAGGGGCGGCCGGGCGGCGCGGCGGCACCGCCGGGGCACGGCGGCACCGCCCGGCACCGCCCGGCCCCGCTGCCGGCCCGCGCTGGAGCCGCGCTGCCCCGCGCGGCGCCGCCGTGCCCCCCCCGCCCCCGCCCTGCGCAGGCTCCTCGCCGCGGAGAAAATGGCGGCGGGAAGAGGCCGCGGCGGCGCGGCCCGGGCGGGACTCGGCGCGGGGGGATCGAGCGGCTCCGCGCCGCACTCGGCACGGGGGCATCGAGCGGCTCCGCGGGGATCGAGCGGCTCCGGGCACCGGGGGAAGCTCCGCGGGCACGCCCCCGGGGCTGCGCTCCCCGGCCAGGCTCCTCACGGGGCCCTGAGCGGCCTCGGCCACGGAGGTCCCGACCCACGCGGGGCCGTGTCACCGCTGCGGCCCACGAGCCGCGGGGGAGGAGAAGGGGCCGAAGGGCTCTGAGGCGTTTGCGCTGTCCACGGTCTTTAGTGGCCAGGTTCAAAGCAAATAAACAACCCTGCTCCTATTTTTAATTATATTTTTTTAGAGGTAATTAAGTGTATTTATGCGGAAAAGAAGTTAGGATATATTCATAAATTTGTATTTTACTTTTAATCCTTGAGTTTCTTCCTAGTCTTACAGCTGTGCTGCATTTTCTGCAGAGACCGTGAAACCTACATAGAGGCTATTTCTTTTCTGCTTTTTCCTCCATTATTTGAAATGACCTTATTTTGGGGGTTTCCATGATAATGTTTGAGAACCAATCTAAATTTCAAGGTTCATTTATTTGTTCAGCCCATATTATTTTCATTTCCTGCTGCTAGGATGCTTTTAAAGCAAGGCAGAACAGATAACCCTTCCCTTAGTTCAGTTCTGTGTTCATGGACTGACTTGAGAAAAATAATTGCAGATTAAATCTGCACATGTTCTAATACAGTTGAAGTTAAAAGGTTCACAAATCAGGTAGTTGTGATTGACAGCAGGATTACTGGGGCTGAAAACTCTGCATTAGAAATCTAATATTCTTTTAAACTGGCCCGTGGAAGGTGGCATTTTATAAAAAGCAAAGCAGCATGGCACTGAAATGGGGCTGTGAACAGTTTTATTCCAGGTTCAGGAGGAACCAAATGTGAAATGACAGAAATGCAGCAGAGCAGCAATTTGGATTCCCCATACCAAGCAACCTCCTATTTATAATTCTGTCAGTTCTTCACATTTTTTGTGAAATTTCAGTGCAAACTTCTTTTGTCTGTCTTTAAATTCCTGTAGCCCCCTTGCTCTGTCCTGTTTGGTTCCCTTTGCTGCTTGCCACGTGTTATCAACAAGAAACTTCCTTTCAGTTTCCTTTCTGGGTTGTGAAATCATTTCTAAAAACCCCAAAAGATCATTCAGTTGTTGAGTGAGCTGACAAGTATTGTGGTGTTTTTGTGAGCCACACAGCAGACTGCAAATACTGTAAAGAGTTTTAATCCCTGGAGGTGCCTGTGCCACAGTCAGGCTTTAGGATTTCCATGTTCTGGAATAGCAAATGGGAATATCAGTGGATTGATACCTTTAAATAACTGATGACTTTGCTATGTGTTACATTGGTAATTCCAGGTGCTTTCTGACCAAAGTGAACTTCAAATTTGGAAGTTTCTCTTCTTTATTACCATTTAATTCCTCGACAATTCATATTTTTGCTTGCACTGAACCCTGTTCTTCCATGAAGAATTACCGGTATAATATTCCCTGGTTTCCATCGGTGCTTTCCAGACTAAACTTCCCCAGCTGTGGGTTTGTCCTCAGTCATGAGCAGCCCATCAGGGCCTGGATGCAGCCCTGCATCTCCTCTAATCCTGCCTGGTTCTGTTTAATTTCTGCCAGTAAATTTGCCAGAACTGGACTTCCAGGCCTTTCCCTCCATACTGAATTAACCTACAGCTCCTGTCCATGGAAGTGGAGCCAGCTGGTGAACTTTTAACAGAGCAGGATCAATAAAATGAATTCTTTGTACTTCCCTTTGCCTCAGGGAAGCTTCCCAAAGGTTTCAGAGGTGTCACTGTAAGCAAACAGCACATTTTTGTTGCTGGACAGAGGAAAAACACTTTATTTCTTTTATAAAGGAAGTAATAAAGCCTTTTCCTGGCAGTTTGATGCTGCTACTACTTTAATTTGTGGGCAGTGCCAGAGGGGGTTTTGATTGAGGTGTCACTGTGGGGCTCAGGCGCTGCTCACCCAAAATCCTCAGCCCTTGGTAAGAGCTCAAATTGAACAGCTCCTGGAAAGGAATAATTGACAAAAAACCAGATTGGCTTCACTGGTGCACTGTGCAGACATGGGGGACAATAATCCGTGGAGGTGGTTGAAGGGCCTGCAGGCTGAAACTGTTGTTTGCTGTGCTCCAGGGAACCAGTGCAGAGCAGGACAATCGCTTCAGCAACAAGCAGAAGAAGCTGTTGAAGCAGTTGAAGTTTGCAGAATGCTTAGAAAAGAAGGTAAGTGGGATGGGGGAGTGGGGAGTCAAACTCACCAGTTTTCAGTGGATTCGCTGGGTATCAGGTGGAGCAGAGGAATGTGAGGAATGTCTTCCCTTTTAAAACCATACTGGAGGATATTTGGGATGTCCTCTTGAGCATCAGATGGAGCAGTGACATCAGTGATCTGCCTGATGTACTAAATACCACCAGCAGGCTTTTGTGTAACATACGGCTTCAGAAGAAGTCAGCTTTCCAGCAAATACTGGTTAATTTGAAATTCTAAGCATCCTTAAATGCAGCCCCCCAAATTGCTGGAGTCTGGTAGGGGAAGTGGTGAGCCTGGATCAAGACTTCCTTATCATTCAGTTTCAATTCATTTAATTTCATCATTTACTTGGGAGTGACCAATAAATCCTACA